AAGGATTGCAATTTTCGTGCCATAGATGGAAATACTTATCGAGATGAAGCCGTTAGAGATGCCTTTATAAGTGGAATTATGAACCCCCAAATTCGACAAAGACTACTAGAAAAACCGTCCTTGACATTAAAAGAAGCTGAGGACATTTCACGTTCACTTGAGTCTGCACAGAAGAGCTGTGAAGCATATAGATCTCCAAACCAAATTGAAGTTACATACTGCAACACTTCGTCAACACTACCAGATCAACTGGATGAAAATATAGATCCTGAAGAGTCTCCTACTTCAGCAGCTGTAGCGAAAAACTTTAAACAGAAGTGTTTCTACTGCGGTGGCCGGCGTCATTTTACTCGAAACGACTGTCCTGCCAAAGATGCTACTTGCTCTGGTTGTAAGAAAAGGGGACATTTTGTGAAGGTATGCAGGTTGATGAAAGCTCAAGGTAAGACCTTTAATGCCTCTTCTTTGGTAGTAACCACACTTTCATGTGCAGCTGCCTCCAATGGACTGTCAAAAGCAGTTGTGCGGGGTTATGCGAATAAAATTCCTGTTGAAGTTTTGGTTGATACTGGAAGTACCGATAGTTTTATAAACCGAGCTGTGGTAATTGAAAATGGTTTTCATGTAATTCCAGAACGGAAACAGGTATCTATGGCTTCCACTAACCTTAAGTCACCTATCAAAGGTTATGTTTCTGTGAACTTAGAGTTCTCTGACCATAATGAGAGAGTACAACTGTTTGTTATTGACAATCTGTGCACTGACATATTGGTTGGTCATGATTTAATGAAACTGCATTCTTCAGTGAACCTAGATTTTGGAGGAGATAAGTTACCTCTGTCCATTTGTAATGTTGCCTGTGCTTCTGTAGAACCACCACGCCTTTTTCATAATCTATCACCTGACTGTAAGCCCATTGCAACTAAGTCTCGTAGGTATTCTAATGATGATGAAAAGTTCATCAACACTGAAGTGCAAAAACTCCTTCAAAGTGGTATAATTGAAGAAAGTTCATCTCCCTGGCGTGCACAAGTGCTTGTTACCAAAAGCTCAACTCATAAAAAGCGATTAGTAATAGATTATAGTCAAACTATAAATAAGTTTACCCTATTAGATGCCTACCCCTTGCCTAATATTGAAAACATAGCTAGTAAAATAGCAGAAAATAAAGTATTCAGTACTATAGATTTAAAGGAGGCTTACCATCAAATACCAATATCGGAACATGAAAAATGCTTCACAGCATTTGAGGCAGCAGGAAAACTTTATCAGTTCTGTAGGGTTCCATTTGGTGTAACAAATGGTGTGTCTGCTTTTCAGCGCACGATTGATAAGATTATTTCCACTGAAAAACTAGAAGGGGTGTGGGCTTTCATTGATGACATAACCGTAGCCGGAAAAACTCAGTCAGAACATGATGAAAGGCTGAATAAATTCTTAAAGGTAGCTAAGAAATATAATATTACTCTAAACAATGAGAAGAGCAAATTTTCTCAAGACATAATATCAATCTTAGGATATCAAATTCGCTACCAGTCTATGCAAGCAGATCCAGATCGTCTGAAACCCTTGTTAGATTTACCATTGCCAGTTAATGCATCTCAATTAAAACGTGCATTAGGAATATTTTCTCACTACTCAAAGTGGGTTCCTAAGTTCTCAAACAAGATTCGGCCTCTGATTGATTGCAAATCTTTTCCTATATTGTCCTCATCTTTGCCAGCTTTGGCTTTTCAGGAAATTAAACAAGACATAGGAAAATCAATACTCACCGTGATTGATGATAATTCTCCATTAGTTGTGGAAACAGATGCATCAGACTTCGCTATCGCTGCCACGTTAAGTCAAAAGGGTAGACCTGTCGCTTTCTTTTCAAAAACATTGACAGATTGTGAAAAACGTCATTCGTCTATTGAGAAGGAAGCCCTAGCCATAGTCGAATCTCTAAAGAAGTGGAGACATTTCCTCATTGGGCGACATTTTCTATTAATCACCGATCAGCAGGCTTTGTCGTTTGTGTTCAACAGTCGGCATACTAGTAAAATAAAGAATGAGAAAATCACTAGATGGCGTCTTGAGTTGTCACCTTATTCTTTTGACATACAGTACAGACCAGGTAAAGAAAACGTTACCGCAGATGCATTTTCACGCGTTTGTGGAGCTGTCACAAACATAAATTGTGATGACAAGCTTTTTGCACTTCACCAGTCACTCTGCCACCCTGGTATCAATAGGATGTACCACTGGGTAAAAAGTAAAAACCTTCCTTACTCGGTTGAGGATGTTAAAACAATGACAAACAAATGCCCAATGTGTGCAGAGATTAAACCTCGTTTCTATAAAACTACAAATGCTCACCTTATCAAGGCCACAAAACCTTTTGAGCGACTTAATGTAGATTTTAAGGGTCCTTTGCCATCTTGCACACGAAATCGATATCTATTGACAATAATCGATGAATATTCACGCTTCCCTTTTGCATATCCATGCAGTGATATGTCCTCAAACACAGTAGTTCGCTGTTTAGAAAATCTATTTTCAATATTTGGAATGCCAAACTACATTCATTCAGACAGAGGGACATCTTTTCTTTCAAAAGAACTCAGAGACTACCTTCATGAAAGAGGAATAGCCACCAGTCAAACAACTCCATATAATCCAGCAGGAAATGGCCAAGTTGAAAAGTTCAATGGAACATTGTGGAAAGCAATCTTGTTAGCTCTGAAGTCCAGGTCACTAAAGGTAGAACAATGGGAAGTTGTACTCAATGATGCATTGCACTCCATAAGATCTCTTTTGTGCACTTCGACTAACAGTACACCACATGAAAGGTTTTTCATTCATCCTCGGCGATCCCTCAATGGCACCTCACTACCAGCTTGGCTCATGAAACCAGGACCGATATTCTTAAAAAGAAATGTTCGACCATCAAAATTTGATCCTTTAGTTGAGGAAGTCGAGCTGTTGGATGCTAATCCTCATTATGCCTTGGTTAAACACAATGATGGAAGAAAGTCAACTGTATCCCTCAAGCACCTATCTCCAAGGGGGGATGTAAGTCTACTAGAAAACCAAGGCCTTCCAACGCTAAAAGATAATCCTCAACTGGTGACAGATGAATCACAACCACATGTCATTCCAGAGCCGAACATCAATCCAGAACCAAATGTGAACCCAGAACAGAATGTCACTCCATTTGATATTCAAGACCATGATGATTATCCAAATGATGATAATCAACCAAACTTCATTCCTGAACAAGACTCTGAAGAAAACCAACCTATAGAAAGGCCGAAAAGATCAAGAAAACCACCAAGTTACCTCGCTGATTACATTGTTTAAATTTTGAGGGGGAGAATGTTATGAATTCCTGTCTCTAATAATCAGCTGAAGTATTTATTTACTTGTTTGTATTAGAGATTTGTTTACCTTTCCAGCTATGTAAGAATTTAAGTTTATTAAAGCCTTATTTTCTAAAAAGGTTCAGTTATTCACAACAGACTAATAACAAACTGTTTCTCAATGAGCTGCAGACAAGCCAAATTTTCCTGGCTTTTGTAGCAAGTTGTTTATAATAAATTGTTGTAAGATTGTATGATTTTTAAAGAAATAAAATAAATCTCTTAAACCGGTGACAAGTTGAAGGGGAGATACAACTAGCCGCAGGTACAACTAGACGTAGGTACAAGTAGGCGTAGGTACAACTAGTCGTAGGTACAAGTAGTCGTAGGTACAAGTAGTCGTAGGTACAAGTAGTCGTAGGTACAAGTAGTCGTAGGTACAAGTAGACGCAGACGTATGAGGTACAAGTAGACGGTGACGTTCCCGACTAGTTGTACCTGTAGATTTTTAAGAGGTACAACTAGACGTAGAGACAACTAGACGTAGAGACAACTAGACGTCCGCACCATCGTCAAGTTGTCTCTACAGCTTTGGACGGGGTACAACTAGACGCCTGTCACCAAAATGCAGCAGGTACAACTAGACGCCGGTACAAGTAGACATCGCCCCTTCGGAAACACTGTTGCCCAAGACCCTTGCGTTTACACGAAACGGCAGGGGTAGAGCTTAATAGCTTAATATAGAATTACCCACCATTAAGGGTCCGCTCTACCCCTGCCGTTTCGTGTAAACGCAAGGGTCTTGGGCAACAGTGTTTCCGAAGGCTATTTCACCTCACTTAGAGAGGTGAAATGATCTAAAAGTATTAATGATCTAAAATGTGGTGGTTGCAGTGTTTACTATCGTACCATAAAGCCTGAAAATCTTTTGAATGTAGATGAAAATGACAATTTTAACCCTTCCCGGACGGGCGAAATCGTGATATAGGACGGAAAAAAATTATAGGAAAAATTTTTTTACTCGTTTTTAAATATGATGATATATCCGCTACCCGTCCGCGGATGAGTAAAAAACAGCGGATATATCCGCCACCCGTAATAATGGAAAAATCGGATTTTCACAAATCGAATGATTCCAAATGGGGTAGACTCCCATATCTGTTGTCAAAAACAACCGAATGAAAATTTCGATCGATACCTCAATTATTCGATTGTTTTATTCAATATATCGTTTGGTTAGTTAGAAATAGAATAATAGGTTAACCTAACCTAACAATCCAAACGTTATATCGAATGAAGTAATCGATATATTGATCGATATTTTCAATCGGTTGTTTATTACAACAGATACGACCATAGAACTATAAACACCCAAAACTTGAAACTTCTGGGGGGGGGGGGGAGTGAAGTCAACAAAATAAGTCTTTTTTCAAAAAAATATTACATTTCATTGTAATAGGTAAATATTGGCCAGTTTAGTAAATAAATAAGCTGATCAACCAACCATACAATTGTAGTTGTAGATTTTCTGTCTTTAGTCGTTTTCTTTGTTTACTGTTCAGCTTCCGCTTTCATTCACTTCAATATCGAACAACGCACTATCGAGTATCGCATCAAAAACAAAGCTCGAAGTAGTCGCAGTTGCAGTCGCATCGCGAACGCGAACGCAGACGCCGCCGCGCCAAATATCTCCTCTGCTCACTAATACAACCGTAGTATCACTAGCGTTTGTATAATATATTAATATAATTACTTTGGATTTTATTCCAAATGACTCAACCTCACAGCAAGAAACGCGTCTGCTACTACTACGATAGTAAGTTTTTCAATATTTTAGTGATAAAATAAATAGTAATATTATTGTCCTACCGACTTGGTTAGCCTAGGTTTTGTACTAATCTACTGTTTTATTACTAGGTAAATGAATTTACCATGAAACATTGCGATCATTATCACGTATTTGTATTAATTAAGGGTTATTGTAAGAGTTTAATGGTTTATTAACATTAAATAGTTTACAGAGTTAGTTTTCTTGCATCGGACAGCAGCCATCTTTGTAAACCACTGCTTCAGAGCACCGTAGTTTTATGATAAACAATATTCTAGCGGTTCACTATTTTTACATTCTTTTAGTTCATTCTACTGCACCAAACTACAATTAAATATTATTTATTATTATTTTCCAATACATTTATATCTATAACATGTTTGTGTGGTTCTTATTAGGCTACAACAAACGGTATGTTGACTACAGCTACCTGATAGTGGTTTGCATCAAACTTTACAGAGGAGTATTGCTTTTTAAGTTTTTTTCATATTGGGCTACTTCAAGTTTGAAATTTGTATTCATGACTGGTATATTATCGTTGTAGGATAGGTTGGTCAAATCATAATATAGGCTACTGGTGCTTAAAACTATTATTCAGTAAATTTAATGCTAAAAAATAGGCTACTTCAAGTTCAGCCTAGGCCTAGTCTGTGTTTTAGCAAAACGTTGATATCTAAGTTACATCCTTAGGCCTACTATGGTATGTTTGGGGTTTGGTTATTATTAAAATCGATAGTTTTAAGTTATTGTCTCATAGCCTATAAAATCACATATAACCAAACCAAGGCTAATTATCTATTCTAAAGAAAACAATGTATCCTAGAGCTGTTTTGCGTGTCTGATTAAGTTAGTTTAAGTTTACTTTTTGTCAAATGACTTAAGAACCTAAATTTCAGATTATTGCAATACGAGTAAACTTACCTAAGTAACTGCACGTTGGTTTTAAACACCGATAAGCCTATACATGTATGTTTAAAAACTCTTGGTTCCGGAACTTTCAAACATTGATCTTTCCAAGTGTACCGGTAGTTGTAACTTACACAACCAAGTTAACTTAAAACTTACGAAATAGATTTTACATAACGTTCCTAGGCGCACTTATATGTAAGTTATAGCCAGGAAGTTGTGTGGTAAATTGCTCCTTTTGGCCTAGTTTTTAGCGAATTTCCCATATAGGGAATAAGCTATTACCGCAGTACTCATGGTAAGACCTGGACGCGGGACCGATTTTTTTTTTCGTTTTAAGGTCCCTAGAGGCCAAAAACACCATCCGTTCAAATTCATATATATATATATATTTATATATTGATATATTTATATATATATATATATATATATATATGTGTCCGTTAGCACGATAACTCGAGCAAAAATGATCCGATTTTGATGAAATTTGGTACAAACGTGTAAACCTACGTTTATTTGAACGAGTTCGCGATCCAGCATGATCGGACCATGGGAACGGGGGTTTACGGGGGGTTTTATGGGGTAAAAATAGGTTTTTCCCATTTTTGACCCAAAAAACATAAAATTTAGCAACTTCTTTCCAAACCAGTTTGTAGAGCTTAAAAAAACAAATAATTTAATATATTGAAGCGTTATTATGCGCTTAATGGTTACGGAGAAAATTCCAAAAAATTGTAAATTTAAAATTCCCATGTTAATCTTATGGAGTATAAGTAAACTGTTGTAGTTTGCTTGTTTATGAACATATTTTGATCAAATTTGGAAAATGTTTTTATTTCTTACTAACTATTAACATTTTACATAAAAAAACAGTTTTACCCTCCCTGATGCAGCAAACCTAAGTACTTGTTAAACTAATTCTATTTAAATAGGGAATAAAAGTTATATTTTTAAGTAGACATTTCAGTGTAAATCCAATCAGTCAAATGGAAATTCGCTTAGTCTGCAGGTTTGCTGCGGCGGGGGTATTAGAAAGTTGTTAGCTTAGTGAACCCTGAGAAAAGTCAGTAGGCCTAATGTAACTTATAGCCTAGTAGCTTTTTGGTGGTTCAAAACTGGGTCACAGCTGCCCTATAGCGTCTCGGTTTCCCCTTTTTACAAACTGATGAGAACCTCTTAAGAGAAGGAGTGGGGTGCGTGACGTCACTCTGCTCTTTAGGAAACACCATTACCGTAACGAGACCATGTTTCCATCGGTGTTCGTGGCGTAGTTGATAGTGTTTCGGACTCGTGATCTGGAGGACCCCAGTTCGAATCCCGCCGGCGACACTAACTTTTTGTCCAAGGTTTTGCTTGGATTGTGAATACTTCTTAACTGTACATCTTTTGTTAGAATTTGAGGCATTTATAATTTTATTTATGAACAGTTATTTTTTTAAATAGGCCTAAGTCATTAGATTTTAACTTTAACTTATATATTTTTATATTATCAGCAAGTTTAGTTGCTTCGGTTAGGTTATGGCAGTTTAATTTTATAATAAGTTAACAAATTTTATAATTAATTTTATAATTAAATAATCAATTATAAGTAAACCTTCATTCGATTTTTATTTTATATCTTTTTTATATTACCTATCAGCAAGTTTGGTTGGTTAGGTTAGGTTATGACAATTTAATTTTATAATTAAAAATCTTAAAATTAATTTTATGGTTAAAAAGTTAATTTTTTAACTAAAATATTATAAAATAAATTTAAAGTCTATTGGTGGCAAGGCACACTAAATAACCTAGGATTTAAGTTTATTGCACCCAATCCTGTTACTTTTGGTAATTATGTTACTTAGCCTACCTGAATAAGTTACCGGTACTTGAAGGCTTTGTCCCTGACCAACACTGTCGGATAGATTGCGTCATAAGATGACTTACCGTACATGTTATAACTTAGGCCTAGTTAACCTTCCATCGGGCGCATCACGAAAGTTACCTCTGGGTTACTATTTTTTGTTATAAAAACTATAAGTTAGTTTGCGTTCGGCAGGGCTGTCGTCTGATGTACCACACGCACCTCTTTTGGTGGGATCAGTTTCAGCTACTCTACACCTTTCCAAGTTGTCAGTCGACCTTAGGGAGTGGTTTGCGTCTATATAGTATATATATATATATATATATATATATATATGACTACTGGAGGTAGCTTCCGTGAGCACCCTGTGATGTAACGGGTTTCCTACAGCCTAATTCTTAGTGCGCCCTTGTGTTTGACCTTATTGTGCGATATTCTGAAATGAATGAAGGAGAACGAATTGTATGGTTTTTGGCAAGAGTTTAAAGGGAGGACAGTGAACAACATTTAAGTTAGTGGAAAGACTTACCAAGAAGAACGAATTGCACGATTTTTGGCAAGAGTTTTTTTAAAGGGAGGCAGTGAACAACAATTAAGTTACCGTAGTGGAAAGACCTACCGGTGCGTTTGTTCAGGAACTTTATTTTTGGGAAAAAGAGTTAGTTAGTTCTTCTAACAAATGATTTTTTTTCATAAGAACATGAGGTGTTTTTATGCCATATACAATAATGCACTTTTTGTCTTTTGACAAAATGAGTGGTTCTTGTAACAAATGTTTTTTTCATTAGACCATAGGCCAGGTTTTTTTATATCATACACATTGCAATTTTTTTTAATATTTCATACAATAGTACTGTATATGTACGAAAAATATGTCTTTATAAAAGTAAGTAGGCCCAAGTCTTTTTTATCCACAGAACTTACATATTTTTATTGTTTATCATAACATTTTCTATTTTCTATACAAACTTATTTAATAGTGTAATAACTCATTGAAAAAGTTTTTCTTATAGTTTTATTGATATTAAAATGTATTTTACTCCTCATTGTATAGTTTTTGTATTCCCAGAGGTAACTTCTGTGAGCGCCCTTTGGTGTTTGAAAATCAATGCGACCGACGGAAGGTTAATAACATTTTGTATTCTCAGTGCATTAGTTTTACTTTAAACGGTTTCAGCTGAAAGCTAGGCTACTTCAGATTGGCGAACTAAATAAGTCACTAGTCTAAATGAACTTTTAATACAACTTTTAACTTGGGAAAGGAAGCCTAAATTATTGAAATAAGTTAATTGGCTTTAAAAAAGTCTTATATTTGAACTAGAAGCAATGCTTCTTATCTAGAACTATGATGCATGTTTGCAAGATAGTCACTTATCTAGAACTAAAATAAGTGAATCAAACACAATGTGTTTCAGGTGATATTGGGAACTACTACTATGGACAAGGACATCCGATGAAGCCACATAGGATACGTATGACACATAACCTCCTCCTTAATTATGGACTGTATAGAAAAATGGAAATTTATGTAAGTTGAATATTTTAAGAACAATATATTTAAAACAGAGTAAGTAGGCCCTAGTGTATTTTAATCAATTTTGGCTTAATTTCATGATTTCAAATATTTTATTGCGTAGGCTACTGTTAACTTAGGGCTTAGGCTACATATTGTGGATAGTTTTTTTTTTTTTCAAGATAAGCAAGGCTTCCACAGAATTTGGCGCTGACATCACAATTGTGAACTTCTGGATACGGCCATATTATGTCAAACTATTATTAAGTGCTGATGTATGTCCCCGTTGCAAAAAGACATCTTGAGAGCAGTTCACCAGAAAAGGTGCCAGACAAAACTGTTGAATAGGTTTTTTTTTTAGCCTAGGGTAAATTTTTTCATTAAACTTAACTGTAACTCCAATTAATATGAAAAGGGGAGTTAGCTAGTCTAGTCTAGGCCAATTATTCACCTTGTTTATTATCAATTACTCATGAGTTAATATTGATAACCTTGGATTTATACCGAGGTATAACTTACCATGCTCTATTATATTCATCAATATTAGAGCTATTGCAACTATGGAAAATGATGTACCTTTTTTAAAACGGTATTTGATGTAAACTTGTTCGGATTTTCAACAGAACGATAAGGCCACACTGTAAAATTTTGTCAGAAATAGGCGATGAAAAAAATTTTTGTTGACAGTGCACTCAAACATCAGACGGGATGAAACCTCTATAATAAACATCAGATTTTACAATAGAGCGAGCAGTTTATTTTCAGTAAGTTACCGTATCCATCATTGTCAGGGCATAAAATAACATGTTAACTGGGCGACACAAGTGTCACCTAGTGCTGAGATTTTGTCGCCCAGTGACTATGGGTGGTGCTGGCATATTTTTTTTAATGATTCACATTTTAAATTTACGCTATCGGAATTTAAAAGGTATTTCAAACATTTAATTGGGTAAATATTTGGTACTTTCCTGTTAAAGGGAACATTCATTATTATCGATGATTTCTTTCTGATACATCGATATTCTATTTTTGATCCGATAATGAACGAGATGTCAGCTGACAACTACGATAAGTAAATATTGTTCAGTATCAACAAACAATTAAAAAAATATTATATTGAAATGAAAATGTTCTAAACTAACCTTACCTAACCAACCAAACTTGCTGTAAAATTTCCTAATTCCGTTTCATATTACTCACATGCCTTTTCTTTTATCAAATGAAATTTTGAAATAATACAGCAAACCCAGCAAGTTTGGTTGGTTCTGTAAGGTTAGTTTTGAACAGTTTTACTTGTTTATGTTTTGCCTAAACAAGATCAGTTGTCAATTTGTAATATAAATGTTTTTGGAGATATTAAAACAAACAGAAGGTATGGATCGTAAAGGAAAACAAAAATATCGATATATCGAAAGAAATCAGATCGATAATAGTGAATGTTCCCTTTAACAGGAAAGTACCAAATATTTCTAGAATGTAGAATAGGTAATTAAGGGGGATAGCATGGACGATTTACAAGCAAAATAAGTTAATCGGAAAATTCATTACAAGATACCGTACGTAGAATTGTGCGATTTTCACTTTAATTTATGCAAAGATCTTTCCCCCTTTTTAATGGGGCCTCTTGGTAAGTCCGGCGCTACTGTCACCCAGTGGAAATCCCTTAAAATATGCTCTGATCATTGTACATGTAAGTGCTTTGACTTGCATGTAGACCTACATGTCCTTCTTTATTTTTAGAGTGTTTCTCTTTTCCTAATCTGAAAGTCAATAACAACACATTGACTCTTAGGTTTTTGATCATGAGTGGTGTATGCATGAGTTTATGTGGCAGTTTATATATTTCAGAGGCCACATAAGGCTACGGCGGAAGAGATGACCAAGTTTCACAGTGACGACTATATCCGTTTCCTGCGCAGCATTCGGCCAGATAACATGTCCGAATACAACAAGCAAATGCAGAGATGTAAGTAGATTTTTATCGTAGGCCTATATTATAAGATCCTTGTATAGTTTTAGCATGTTTAGCCTCTGGATCACGTAATTTACTAGTTAATAAAAAGGTTAAATGTGCTTATTAAATGCCAGGATCACTGACAGTACTACAGGTATTTAACCTTTTTACCTTGTATAGTGTTTTCTATTGCACTTTTCTATGCCATACATGCAAATGAAAAAGGAAAACAGGGTTTTAAGCGTCTGTTGTCTTCTAAAAACATTATTCTGTTATGGAACCAGACAGAAGATCAAATCATCAGTAGTTTGGTTACAGACATTTGCCATAATTATTTACAAATTAAAATGTTGAAGTAATCACCTGCACAGTACATAGATTAATATTTTTTTAAATTTTTAACTACAAAAACTAAATGAAAATTTGTTTATATTGAAGGCAAAGTTCGACGATCTCTGGGTTTTTCAAGTTCTTTTACCATGTTTCCTAGTCATCTAACATTTAATACGGTATCGAACAGTTTTTGCACAATCATGCTTTTGTGTTTCAGTCAACGTAGGGGAGGATTGCCCTGTGTTCGACGGCCTCTACGAGTTCTGTCAGTTGTCAGCAGGAGGAAGTGTCGCCGCTGCTGTTAAACTGAACAAACAAGCATCGGAAATCTGTATAAACTGGGGCGGAGGTTTGTTGATTGTTGTTTTCATATTTCAAGTAGGCTATCATATAAATTTGCTTGGGAACTAGAATCACATTTGCCTTGGTGTTGAAATAAGATTTGAGCTGGCACAATGTAAAAAACAGTTAGTAGATAGTAAATATTTGGGGACAATGTTTTTTGGGGTTCTAACTACTGTTGTAAAACAAGTAATTTTACAACTATTATACTTACAACTTATTATACAAATTTAAAAAAAATTTGAATCCTTTCTACAAGTATACTTTAATAGACCCAAGCACAGTTCTCTTGTACTTTTCCTTATTATATCAAATCTGAAATTGCAGTAGAAACTGTAAAACTTAACCTTAAAGTGCTTTCTCTTGTACTTTTCCTTATTATATCAAATCTGAAATTGCAGTAGAAACTGTAAAACTTAACCTTAAATTGAATCAGGTGAGGTAACAAACAGAAAAATATATATCATAGCAAAACGTATAGGACGTAGGTGTTATAATTTTTTGCTCAAAAAGTAAGTGACAAATCTAATTTCACTTAGGCTACTCAGTTTTTCACTTTTCAGTCGTGCAAGTAAAGTTTTCTTCTGAACCAGAGAATTAATAAAACAAATTTATTCAAAAACATTGTTGTCTGCAGGCTTGCATCATGCTAAGAAGTCGGAGGCTTCAGGGTTTTGCTACGTCAACGACATTGTGCTGGGTATCTTGGAGTTGCTCAAGTACCATCAGAGAGTACTGTACATAGACATAGACGTTCACCACGGGGACGGAGTAGAGGAGGCTTTCTACACAACCGATAGAGTTATGACTGTGTCCTTTCACAAGTATGGCGAGTACTTCCCCGGAACTGGAGACCTTAGGGTGAGTTATACTGTAGATAACACATACCTCCATAGTAGATTTCTTATCCTTAGGCCTATGGAACAGCTGAAGCCAATTTTATTGTTAGTTCTGTTCGGTGCACTGTGGAGGTTGTGTTTTGTTTACAATTTGTTTCTTGACATTTCAGTCATTTAAAACCTCGGTTAGCCAATATACTTACCAAGAAAATAATAAAATGTTAACCTGTGTATTTTGATAAACCTTATAAAATATTCTGCTCAAAGTTAAGTAAATTCTTTGAAAACACCCTGTAACTTATGTTTTTTGCAGGATATCGGAGCTGGGAAAGGAAAGTATTACGCAGTCAACATCCCTCTGAGGGACGGCATGGACGATGATAGCTACGAGTCCATTTTTGTACCTATTATTAGCAAAGTGAGTGAGAATAAAATACTTATTGTTGTGAAGCATGCTTTGAAACACCTAGTTTCTTTAGTCTAGTTAAGTTTTAATTTGTTTTATTATAGTTTGTTGGATATTAGTCTTGGCCTACATTCTTGGTGTAGTAGAACTTGTTTTTACTATTTCCAACTATTGTTTCTAATTCTCTTTATGTTTATTTTATGAAATTTGAATTGCCACTCTCACATAATGTTTTTACTTGTCGTTAAATCATCAAAATAATACATGATTGATGCTTGGACTAAATAATTTTAGTTTTTTTTAGCCTATAGAATAATTGGACGAAGTTGCACCTTGCACCCAATAAAGTAATAATTTTCATAAGAATCCAACTTACAGTAATGAAAGCTATGAGACTTTGAAATTTTGTTTTGTCAAAGTTTGATTTTTTACAAATAATATGTAAGGTTTTTTTTTTTTTTTTTTTAATTGAAAAACTTTATTTATACATTTCAAACAATTCAACATATGACTATGATTTTCAATCAAATATAAATGTTCAAAAAAATAAAATGAAAGCTCAATAGAGCAATGGGGGAATTGCGGCACCATCTTCAAATTGAATGCTTCGAATTTTTCGTCTAGTTCCCCGTAGCCTTAGCGAAACTGCTCGAATGATGGAAAGCTGGCTTTGGATCCTCAACCATCCGATAATTTGGGAGTATGGTTTTCTCCATTTTACAGCCAGGGCTTCGCTTGTTCTCCTCTGAAACGCTTCATATTCTTTGTGGGGGACTCCTTCCGTGGAACATATTAATGGTGTGAAGCTTCCTCTGATGTCTTCGGCTGCTTTGTCATATTTATTGTGTTTCTGAACGGCATGGTTTCGAGATATTGTTCCCCATTCTTGGTTGGCGTAAGAGGGAGCGTCAGCATTAACAATGCGATTATCAAAAAACGCTACTCTCTCAGCCTCCCAAATACCATTAACTTTAAAATCAGCTTTTAAAGCAGGCACATTGTTTGCAGGGTCAGCTTCTCTCATAATAGGCTCGACTTCAACCCCTTTCCAGGCCATATTTGCTATCGCAGCACAGTGGTCTCGATGTTGATCATGCCCATGTTTGATCAATCCTCCTTTTTTACAATTTAATGCATGTGTTAGATTCATAGGTTGATCACAACCATCACATCGTACTGGTAAATTTCTTAGTGTGCGGCCATAGCGAATTGACAAAGCATCTCTGAATTGATCCGGGGACAAATCCGTATGATCAGATGCACATGGTGTCACAGTTAACCATTGGCTAGTATTCCCTGCTACAATTCTAATTATTGGCTTCTTTTGACTTTCAGGAAGTAATTCCATAATTCGTTCATTATTTGCTTTAGCCAACATGTCTTTTTCTAGTTTTCTCTTCTTTATTACATCTTGTAGTGTTGATACATGATCATTAATCTTTAATGGTTGTCCATTTTTAATGGCTAATATTAATTTTTCTGTGCATTGTTTTGATGCTTCAAATGAAATACCATCGTTCTTTGTCGGGTCCTGAATATTTAAGCCTCCAAAACGAGTAGGGAGAGAGAACAAGTCATGTTCAAGTTCAGAAATCTCTTGTTCGAAAAGGTTGGGAGTGAAATTGCGATGTATGGCAGTTTTTAAATCTTCGTATTCTTCACTAAATCCCTCTGTTACTCTTTGGAGAAATGCCCATTCATTTTGTAATGACTTAGTAAAGGCAGTATACGCTGCTTGAGGACTTTTATGTGCAGCTATGCCAAATTTCTTTATACAATCAACCCATTTTTTTACTTTTTCTTTCACGAATTCCTTCTTTTCTTCTGAGCTACCAATAATACCCCCTAAAAACCTGTACGATGTTACAATTTTCACTTGTAGGTCTCTGAAAATTTCTTCTGCTTTTTCTTTATATTCAGGTTTTACTATCAATACACTTTTCTTGGGTTCTGGGTAATACCCCCATTTTGGCCCTTCAACACGTAAAGCGTTAAACCATTCTCTAACTTTAAGTATTTCACCGAAACATGCAGAATCATCAGCGTACCAGTTTTGCTTCCAATTTAGGCTTTTTAGTTTTTTTACCAAAGGTAATATGCCAATTGCATACATTAGCATGCCTAAAGGGTCTCCCTGAGTGGTTCCTTCTTGACTAAGGATGATTTTATTGCTTCCTCTAAACATAATGGTTGCATAGCCTTGGTATGTATTGAATAGGAAACGAGCGCAACGAGGCCAAAGCACCCTAGCATTCCACAGAGTTAAAGGCCTGCTCAAGGCGTTGAACGCATTTGAAGCATCTACAAGTAAAATACAATTTTGGTTCTTTTCATTGAATAGGTCCGTCATAGCATGTATAGCACCTTCTATTCCAGCTTTTGTTCCGGCGCAGAGTTGGTCAGATCCACATATTTCTTGAACATCTTCACCTGTTACAAAAGCCATGGTTTTTGCACATAGTCTCTGCAAAACTTCTCCAACTCCTATTGGGCGAATACCAGGGTATTTGTTCAGTGCTAATCCTCTTCTAGCTAACAGAGCTCTGATCGAGTTCCAGTTTACTATCCCGTTTGCCATCCATCGAGTTAACGATGCGACTGCTTCCCTTAAACGAGTGCTATGTGCTCCATAGCGCAGCAACATATTCTTCCATTGATCAGCATTTGTTCCGCTAGGGCCAGCACTTCCATGCAAACGTCTAGCCATCTTCTCTATGTGGTCACTGGATATATCTACATCTACCATCAATGGTAAGTTCTCATCAGCTAGAAAGGTATTGTCATTCGGAACCATTTGACGTGGGTGCTTATTTGTTAAAACTTGAAAAACATTTTGACCATCAGGAAGGATATCGTCAGGTGTGAGTACTCCATCGCCGGAGCGATCTGTGAGCCATCTTGTAGCTTCACGCAATTTTCCTTGTAATACCAATCTTGTGAAGATTCTTATTTTCTGGTCTTCTTCTTGGTGTTCTTGTGATGTTTTCATTTGCCGATCACATCTCTCAGCTTCACGTATTAATTCATCAAATTGATCATTTTCCCACATTTCCATTCTTTTCTTCATCAAACGTCTTATGTCAGACCCATTTTTTATCATTTTATCTTTTTGAAGAATGGTAGCACATAAGAAAAATATTCTTTCGGTTGAATTTATACCATTTGGGACTGCTTGGATCTCTTTGGCTAGAACATCTACAAATTGCCTTCCAATTGAACCTTGTGGTATTGTATATTGTCTTCCTTTTAATTTCATTGCACAAAGCCACCGTTTGTGCCATTCATTGTTTTCTTGAGAACTTACAGAGTTAAGAAGTGGAACTCCGAATCCTCTGGTAAATAACTTGTTCATAAAATTGTCTTTAATCATATCATCTTGATTGACATCGTCTGCTGTTGCAAGAAATTGAACACTTCCGTGGTCATAGCATTCATTGTATACAGCTTTATTTGTATTATCGGAAATTGGAGTTGGTTTGGCTTTAGTTTTTACTTTTGAGGTCCTAAATTTCACTTCTCTGGAAATGCTTTTAGAAATTTTACTATTAGTAATCATTTCATCACATATTTTATCTTTTCGATTTATTTGGCTGACTATACTTTCATTTGGAATTAAAAGTTCAAAATGTCCACAATCCAAACGGCCGGTTAAAAGTAGGTCCGCTGTAATTTTATGAGAAGATCTTGATATTATTGTTGGTTTATTTTCCAAATGGATGATTCTAGTTTTAAAATGTTTAGCTTGATAAAAGATGTTAATGTTGATTTTAAACAAGTCAGATATAACCATACATTCAACACTAGTTCCATAAGTACCATCTTTTTTCATTTCCTGGCAGTATTTTTCTTTATCAATCTCAGTTTGGTCATCATACAGGATAAAACGTTCATATTCTTTCCAGTTTGTATACATATGTTCGACAGTATTTAACCTAAGTTTTTTAAACTGATTTTGAGATTGAAATAAGAATATACTCAAAGATCTAAAAAGACAATTGCCGTCACCTAGTACATTTTGTCTTTTAAATGTTAAAGTCATTTTACTTCATTGGTCCAAAAAAAAAAAAAAAATTATATTAAAATAGTTCAATTCCTAAAACTGTGGAATAGATGTGAACAAAAAGATTGGTAATGTTTACATAATAAAACAATTTTGAAATCAGTATTATAAACAAATAAAATGAATATTTGAGGTTAGATGATTTTAAGTTGTGAGAGTTATTAATGATATAGAGGTATAATGTATAAAATACTTATTTGTAGAAAACCTGTCTTCTTAAAGATCTTTTTGAAACACTGTTTGAAAGCTAAATTTAAAAATTATTCACTAATAATCACTGAAAATTGAAGAGCAAAATTTTTATCAACTTTATATAATATTATATATATATATTATATTATATATATTATATATATTATATTATAATATTATAACTTTATATAACTTTATTAAATATGTAAGGTTTGGTGCAATGCATGTTAGCCTACTCAAGATATTTTAAAATACTTTTAGTTGAACAATTTAACATTATATTCATCGTAACCTTTAGGTTATGGAGACATTCCAACCGAGCGCTGTTGTGCTGCAATGTGGTGCCGATTCACTCACAGGCGACAGACTTGGCTGTTTTAACCTCACTGTTCGAGGTATGTAAGAGCCTTATCTAATAAAAGAGCATAAAAACTACTTCCTACTCTTTCTTACTTATTCCCTCTAAAAAGCCTTTTTGGAGGGGCTTTAACATGTTAATTGTGCTTTAAATATTTAGTGCAATATCAACCTTTTGCTATTTAAAACTTTGACGAGGTTATGCAATTAATTTCCCTTAAAACTTAAAGCAGTTAATACAGCTGTTCATAACCTTGTCATTTTTAAACAGGAAAATTATTTTATCAGTAACAGTACTTACTTCTTTATTCATAAATAATGTTAATTTATTATTAATTTAGATAGTAACCCAAACCAATATTGGCTTTGCTGCAGGTCATGGGAAGTGCGTAGAGTTTGTCAAGAAGTATGGTCTTCCGTTCCTGATGGTTGGAGGAGGAGGCTATACAATCCGCAATGTTTCCCGGTGTTGGACGTACGAGACCTCAGTTGCTCTTGGGGTGGAGATTGCCAACGAACTTCCCTACAATGACTACTTTGAGTACTTTGGTCCCGACTTCAAACTGCACATCTCGCCTTCAAACATGGCTAACCAGAACACACCCGAGTACCTAGAGAAGATTAAGTGAGTTCAACGGTCAAATCAGAGAGATAATAAATTAAGTTAATTTGTTGAATTGTTCGATGAGTAGAGTTTTGAGTCTGCAAGAAAACTGAAAATCAGGACAAAACAAAAGTTTATCGACCTAATTTTGATGGGACGGAATGCAGTAATTCGCCGTTAACAATTTTGTCTCAAGTTGTTCAACAATTAGTCAGTTTTTAGTACTATTTATTTTTGATGCGGTTTCATGAGACGATCATGTCATGATGTCTCCGTGGTCGATGGAAGATGTTCGGGTTTTGCTGCGATTGAGGGAGATAATCGCAATCAGTTTAATATTATTATCTTCCTTAAAAATTCTTAAAATATGTAGGCTTGCGTGTTAAGTGAATAATACAAATAATAGCCGCCTACAATCTACAATAATTTTGTATTGGATAGGTTTAACAAACTCTCACGTTGAAAATATATTAAAATTCACAAATAAACACATAGAATTATTTTGCAGTATGATAAGCCTGCTGTTCAACCTATCCATTACAAAATCCTTAACAAAGACTTTCTTCATATACAACAATGTTGAACAGGTTACTTAATTTTTTTTATGGATAAAATTTTGGTAATTTTATTCATTTTTATTTACAGGAACAGATTGTTTGAAAACTTGCGGATGCTGCCCCATGCTCCGGGCGTACAAGTTCAAGGTAAGTGATCTGAATTTATTTCTGACTATAAACATTAGGCTTACCGGTAGTTGTCTTGTCTCATGTTTTGTTGGCTTTGAAATACAAGCCACATAAAAAAGCATAGCATCCCTATGTCACTAAGAGTACTTAGTTACAGCTGAGTGGTTATAGTGCTTACCTAGTAATCAAAAAGTTGCCGGTTCGATCCTGAGAATAGTTGGTAGCTTTTATCAAGGTTTGAAACTGGACCCAGCTGTCCTTGATCATTGAGCTTTTTTAATGGTCCCAGCTGATCAGCTGATCTTAGTCAATAACAAAGCTACAAAGGCAAATCATTTTATTTTACACAACCTTTTCTGCGATGATTAATTTAATTGTGTTTCACAGCTATTGTTGACGATGGAATCAGAGAGGAATCAGAAGACGAGGACAAAGCAAATCCTGACGAGAGGCTGCCTCAAAGTATTCAGGATAAGAGAATTGCTCCTGATAATGAGTTCAGGTACAATACATCCACTTGTAACTAGAAGTTCTAGAAGTATTTTTCTTTCTTCTTAACTACGAAAAAGTTGATCATGGTATTCCCCATTTTGTAATAATTGCTCAAGTTTCAGAGTGTGTAATTGATTGTAATTTTATCCTGTTTTTAATTGGGAAGGGATCTAGAACATGACAAGATTACACAAACTGGAAGCCATAAATCTAGTAGGATAACTCAAGTTTTAGCATTGTAAGGTCATGATGAGTTATTAAGTAGACTGTTTTGATTTGATTTACTTATCTTCACTATTCCCCCTTTTTTTATTTGACTGCTATAACATTAAATATTTATGTTTCTTTTTCAGACTTTTTGTTTCCCACCCTTACCCGTGTTGTGTACTTGTCTAGCTTCCTTAAAACCCGAAGACAGGATTGAATGTAGACCATAAAAGCTCGTGACACTTGTGTCTTATCAATCAGTCATTTAAAAATGTCCGCGTTATTTCTGAAGGGTGTTTGGTCAAAACATTTTTTTTAATATTTTTATTTGACCAGAAATGAAAATGTATTGTTAAATGATTCTGACAAATAATGTGGGACTTGATAGTCATCATGTAAAATATTGCTAACCAAGAGGCGGAACCACAAGCCTGACAAAAAGTGACAATTTCCAATTATATCTTATAGATTAAGCTTTAAAAAAAATTTTTATTTCATTCCAAAACTTTGAAAATTTGAATGAACAGTCTTAAATACGTTAGTTTTGACTTAATGAATCATTGTTCCAAGTAAGCATCGAACTTTACTTACATAATATACAACTCTTTCACTGATTTCTCTATTTTTTTATTTTTCTGCCGTAGTGATAGTGAAGACGAGGGCCCTGGAGGTGGAGGCAGACGTGACAACCGTTCATTCAAGGGAAGAAAGCGACCACGACTGGACCCCACCAAGCCTGATGCTGACACCAAAATGGACGAACTCAAGACTGAAAGTGAGTTTATTCAACAATAAATTAAAATTAACTAATTAATTTAATTCAATTAGTGTAGTACAGTTGCAACCGAGGTATCCAAACAGATAGTTGGGGTCCAAATTGTGTATAGTTAGAAGTAAGGATTCTGTAGATTACAAATCAGTAGTTTGCTCAACTGCGTCCAAATATTGCAAATGATTCAAAATGTTTGCTCTGTATCTTTAAAATTCCTTTAGCACAACTCTAATCTATGTCCAAAACAGTGTTAAACAGTGTTTTCGCTCTTTTTGTGCCTTAATTGGTGGAAAAATAACTATTCTAAAGCTTTTAGTAATGGTACTCCTTTGTAAAAAAAATTAAATGCTAATTAGCCTATATTACTTTTCTTGGTTTTAATCCCTCTTACGGTTTTTTGCCCTGTTAAAAAACTAGGTCCTACGTTATGAAGAAATATCAGGTTTATTTTTTGTGATTTTGCTCTAATTTTCTCAGGTACCTAAGCTGGACTAGCTTTCCATCTCGTCCCATCTTCAAAGTAGTTCAGTTTCTTATTGTTATAAAATATTTTCAACTCTTAAGATGAATAAATCCAATTTTCTCTCTACCTCAGGTGTCAAAATGTGTGTCATTAACGAATTATGTTGTGATACAGCGATAGTAAATTTAAATTTGTCAAAGAGTTTTTCTGGTGAAGGCTAGAGTTCAGCTAGATTTCCTGATAAATTATGTGAGGGGGCTTCTAGATTTCCAAAATAGGTTTATTTCATTCATCTATAAGTCCCTGGACACTCGATTACCATGAATTTTCCTTATGTTATGATTGTTGTAATCAAGTGTTATTTGCTGCTGTTTCCCATTGAATTTACTAATCTAAAATCTATTTTACAGACGACAAAGAAGAAAAAACGACAGATGATATGAAGAGAGAAACAGGTCCAAACCCTTGATAAACCACCAATATAATTTATATTTTTTCTCATCTGATGACTATTTACCACCTTACTTTGGTTTAAATGTCGTGATAATAGAAGAATATTTTATATATCAGTAAGGATGAGTTATGCTTTTAAAGATCTCCATTTGACGAAAGGTTAGATTTTGTAGAGCAACCCTGCATCTTGAGTTAATTTATTATTGTGTTCAAACAAGTTGTTCATTTTTGAGAAAAATTTTTGTAAATAAACTGATGGTTGATGATTATTAAGGTGTGATATTGTTTTGATGAGTTGATCAGTTATGGAAAACAAAATTGATTTTCTCTATGAGGAAGAAGCTATTACCGTAGGCCTAGTTTTATCCTGGGACACCACGAGTTAGTACCTTTTAAATTACAGCAAAGTAAAATACTTCATCTAATTAATAAATAGTTTCTATACTTAATCATCCTTCAGGGTGCGTTCGGTAGAGTTGAGGCGAGCTATTGTCTAGTTGCAGACAATCCTGCGCAGTAAAAAAAATCACAAAACGGAAAAATGGCACGATATGACTTACCTTTAAGTCTATAAATTTTTAATGTTTTGCCTCTAATCTCGTAAGAAATGTTATTTCTAGCCGTCCAGTATATACAGAATTTTCAGTCATCCAACACTGCATAAATCTTGGAACTCGCTGGATTATTGAATGTCTATTTTATTATCGTTTGCACCTTAAACTTAACTTTTAATTGTCTCAAAAGCATGAAACTCTAAAAACGATGTAAATTTAATATTTTTTTATTATAACTTTTTAAGCCTTTAGGTAATGATAATATTTAACGTACCTCTGTGCATTTGGTTTTAACTTAGTTTTAAAAGACTAAAGTAAATTTCATCACAATCCTAGGATCCCCTAATGGATTGAATCAATAATATTGGATCTGGAATACTTTTGTATCTGTTAATGAATGACGTACCTATTTAAAATTATACATTAAAAACAGCAATTTTCTTTATTATTTTCTACGTAAAATGTATTGTATTGAAAGAAACTTGGATTGCTATATTATAAATTTTTATTCACATGGTTTTTTATTGATTTAGCACTTTTATTTATTATACATAGTTTTTTTTTACTTCTTTGTATTGTTGTAAACAAGTACATTTGTTGTCTAATGTTTCAATACCGTACCTGGAAAAACACCTTGTGTCACAGATCATATTTTAAAATCAAAGATATCCATGAAGGGTAAACAAAAAAAAACACATCAGTAAGAGCAAAAACATGTTTGTCAGATAAACTGTATCATAATACTTTTATATTTTTATATTGTTGTGTGTGGATTTTAGTTGTTTTCGTCATAATTTGAATCTAGATTTAGGCTTTAAATTTTCATATAAATTCAAGAGGTTGTAAAATTTATATTTATGCCTTTGACTTTCGGATACCGAAGTAGACATCCCACCCATATGTACGAGCTGTCGCTATTGTTTTACTAAAAAAGAACATCAGTGAATAAGCCAATCACTGAGTTTGACAGTAAATAGTTATTTGTGTAACTAGTGGGTGAAGTGGAACTTTGCTGCACTTGAGAAAAACGTTTATGCACGAGCGGTAGGCAAGTATGAAAAGTTTCTCAAGTGCAGCAAAGGCAGTTTGCACTCGTGTTACTCTTTATATTTTTCCTACAGTTGCTATAAATCATATAAATAATTAGTCTTTCAAAAACTGTACAACACGTTTTTGCGTTAGTTTAAATCCAAACACTGAACATTGAAATGGGAAACGCTGCACCAGCTGATCGTAGTCTTAATGTGTGTTACCAACTCATTTTCAAGCCACACATAATGATGATGTGCATAATAAAAGCACGCTGTTTTGTGTTGTTTGGTGAATACTGGTATGCGCCAAAGTAAAAACAGTGCGCCAAAGTAAGGCTTTCTGTACTATAATCTGTACAAGGAAGCCCACTTTATTGGGTGACTGTAGGAAAAATTCTATTATCTCCCAGTTTTTGTTTCTGAGATAGTTGATGTGACATAAAAGATATCACAGCTTACAATAGTAGTACTTTTAGTTTGGCTGGGTTACAAAGTCTGCGTTCCACAAAAATCTGTAATTTACATTGTTCAGTTTACTCTGTCAGTGGCTTATTTATGATTCAAAAACTGGGAACAACTTTGAGGTGGAATGTCTAGCGCTATCAACAGTCAAAGATTTTACATTGAATGTGAACCAAGTTTTATTTCAAGTAAATTGTTGAAACAAGTTCCTTGTAGCATGTACTGTATATTGTAACTACTAATTCTCATTTGAATAAAATTTGCGTGTGGAGGTTATGAAAACAAAGCATATATTCTGAATGCTCACTATTTTAAAAACTAATCTATTTTACACAATTATTTTTTATAGTTTCATTATAAGCGTACCTTATGTTTGTTTGTTACTATTTTCCAACTCAAAATGTACATATCTTCAACTGAAAACTAATTAGTAATTAGGCAAGCAATACATAAGCAGACTCTTCAATAATTTATTTATTTTTGTTAATAGTGTTTTCAGTAGATATGAATTCTTAAAACCAATCAATCAACAGATAAATGTATAAATAAATGAAATAAAAATAGAAAAATACTATATCTTGTGTATAATTGCTTAATCCTGTAAAATCAAATATCCTCTTAAGCTTAGTATTTTTATGATTTGTTTGTAGTTAAACTATGTTGTATTTTCAAACCAAGAACTCAAAAGTAGCATTAGGCCTTATGTTTGGATAGTTAATCATTCCAAACATAACAGTAAGGACTAGCCCAAAATTGTATTTTATACCTAACCTACACAATGGTATGTTTGGTGTTTCTTACAAAGGGAAATATAATCTATCCTAAAACGAAAATGCCTTTTTAAAGATTTATTTATATCAATGGATACACCATTTACAAAATAATGTGTTTTAAGCACATGAACAGAATGAAAAGATAAAAATAACAAGAGGAGTTACATAATGGCCATTGAACAAAACAGCATTGGAACCAAAAATAATAACAACCAAACAACAATAACAGATAATAACAAAAAATATTTAATATTAATTTGAACTTCAGAAAAAGCATATAGATTTTGAAAGTACAACAACAAATATCTCCTCAAGATTTAACAATATATAAACTATAATATGATGACAACAAGTTCTACTGAAAAATTAACAACAATCAACAATAAATCTATGAATGAATAACAAGAATGAAAGAGATTTAGGAACAAAACAAACATACATCAGCTACAAAACAGGCATAACAATGATAATATTAGAGGATTTCCTTCTGAAGGAAGACAACTGTTCATTGAAGAAGTCAACTTGTGATCCGACTTCGTTTCCAAGGCGCTGCAATCTGGCCAATCCACAATTAAGAGAGTAGTTAGTTGGCAAGTACAAGTGAGTATCTGAAGATCGTGTTCCTCTCGGTATAAGGAAATAAATTCCCTCCAGTAGGCCAGTAGAACTGATCTCACCACGGACCAGTTTAAACAGAAAAAGCATGTGCAGCTTTCTTCTGAGATGGAAAGGTTGGGCGTTGTAGCGCTCCTGGAGCTCCAAGATTGGTGGGGCACGATACTCATAGCCCAGGCGGACACCTAACTCACCTAAGACTCGCAGGAAGCGTAACTGTACTTTATTTATCATTTCAAAGATAAAATTTTGAAGCTGTTTAATCGTGAGTACTATAGTGTTTCATCTCCCTTGGAGTAACTTATCAAGAGCCTCAATTTAAAATATTTGTAAAAAGGATGAGAGGGTTGTTGAGCTTTTCTTCCTCACACCCAAAATGCATCCAGTTGAAATGTAAAGGTAAATCAAATGAGCCTAAAATATGAATTCTGGCACAGAATACTCGAAGCCTGCCTTGTGTTGGCAAAATTGATGGATTGCGCTCTTGGTGAGGCACGTTTGCCCCCAAAAGATCTATACTACAGCTACTAGTAGCAACGCAGAGATATCAAAAACTTCTGAGGGTTGTAAGGCATTGTTCAGGTTTAACTGGCTACAGTGTAAACCTTCGGTAGCAAACACAGCCATTATTATATTACCTGAGGTAAAAACTCAGATAAAGTCCTGTTCACATAACTAGTGTTCCTGTTTCATGTTTTAAATAAAAACACAATTGAAGTTTCAATACTATTTATTATAAATTGTATTTAACATCGACAGAATTACATTTAGGCTGCAGTTAATGAGCCGACATCTTTTATTCTGAATCGGAAATCAAATACACTTAAAAGAGAATACACAAAGACCAAAGAGTAATACCTCTAAACATGGACTTCACTATATACATATATCAACATCCCCTCTCTTTTACAAAATTGAAAATTTTAACTTTCCAAAATACAACTTTAACATTTTCCTTTCAAGTCTAACAAAATATACACCAAAACCTAATCATAAGACAACCGCTTTGGATTTCTTATCAATCTACCCTTTCGGCTTACACAACCATCGAAACTTTTAACAATTTGTTCTTCTGATGAAATTCTAGGAGTTAGGCCTACTGGTCTTTGAAACAACACTGGACTACTTTGCGGAGAAATAAGGCTATTACCATTAGTACAAGAAAATATTGGTTATCAAACTCAAAAATGTCACCTGACACTTTATGCCAAGGCAAATCTGGTACATCATGAAACAACAACGGTTCTTTTGCATTCATAGGCTTAAACTTAGCACAAACACTACATTTATTTACAAAACTTTCAATGTCCTTATGTAAGGTGGGCCAATACAATAAATTGCGTGCCCTAATCTCACATGTTTGTTTTCCTACATGGCCACAATGCAAACTTTCAAGCATCATTTTATGAAGTGAACTAGGTACAACAATAGATTGATTTTTGAAAACAAGATCATCTACAACATGAAGATCATGTTTAATACTCCAAAATGGTAAAACCATATTACTGACTTCAGGCTTTTGAGGCCAACCTTTAGATATATACATCTTTAAAATACCTAGACATTCATCTGAACTGGTTTTTTCTCTTAGCAGGTTTAGTTTACTTTCAGACACGGGAAGATAAGATTTTAACATATTTACCTCACAAATGATGTCCTCATCTAAAACATCAATATCTTCTTTACCTTCTACTGGAAGTGCTGCACGTGACAGTGTATCAGCTATATACATCAATTTACCTGGCTTGTATACAACAATTAAGTCATAGCGTTGAACTTTAGCATCATTCGCTGTAATCTTAAAGGAGCAGCAGTAATGGGCTTCCTAAACAAACATTCTAAGGGTTTGTGATCAGTTTCAACAGTTACTTTCCTAGAGAAAATAAATTGGTGAAATCTAGTGCAACCAAAAACTATGGCTAGCATTTCTCGTTCTATCTGACAATAATTTGACTGAGTCTTAGTGAGCGCTCTAGACGCATACGCAATTGGATTATCACCACATAACAATACAGCACCTAAACCAGTTGAGGAGCAATCTACAGACAATGTTATTGGCTTACTTGGGTCATAATATGATAAAACAGGAGGAGATACTAACAAAGACTTTAAAGTCAAAAATGCATTTTGTTGTTCGGCATTCCATTGAAATAAAACATCTTTATGTGAAAGAACTCGCAAAGGAGATGTTACAGTCGAATAATTTGGAATAAACTTTGATAAGTAATTGGTAACTCCTAAAAATCTTTCCAAGTCTTTACGATCTTTAGGTATTGGCATCTCCTGTACAGCTTTAAGCTTAGAAGGATCCGAAGTTAAACCATACTCAGTAAACCGATGACCCAAAAACAAAACTTCACTCTCAGCAAATTTACATTTCCTAGAGTTAAACTTAATATTAAAATCCTTAGCTCTTTTTAATACTTCCTTTAATCTTAAATCATGAGTTTGTTTATCAGGAGCACCTATGCAAATGTCATCTATGTAGGTGACTACACCATCAATACCTTCAAATATTTGAGATACAGTAGAATGAAATATATCCGGTGCACTTGAGATACCATATGGCAAACGAAGGTATCTATATCTACCAAAAGGTGTATTAAACGTACACAACTTGCTACTAATATTATCCAACTTAAGCATCCAAAATGCACTGCTTGCATCAAGAGTTGAAAATATCTTACAATTATTAAACTTTGATGACACTTCATCTATAGTTGGCATTTGACAGTGTGTTCTTTGTATATACTTATTCAGGTTTCTTGGATCTAATACTACCTTTAGTCCAGAATTTTTTTTGTTTATTAAAACTAAACTGTGAACCCATTCTGTAGGTTCATTTTCTTTTACAATAATTCCATTAGCTTCCATTAATTCAAGTTCATTTTTCAAAGGATTTAACAAAGCGAATGGTACTCTACGACATGGTTCAATAATAGGCTTAGCATCTTCACTTAATGACAAATGAACTGTTGTAGGAATGTTACCAATACTACCATCAAAAAGTGAGCTATATTCATTCAAAATGCTACTAACAGAATGTACACTTTCATTAGGCCTATGCATATTTTGACCTAGAGCAATATTATTTACACTTTGGTTCTTAACATCAGACAATACCTGACCGTTGTAGGCTGCTATAAGACCTAACACGCGACAAGAATTTAAGCCTAAAATTGGCGAACATTTCACATCAACTATTACAAAAGTAATACAGAACATTTTCCTGTTGAAAGAGCAATCTAAATCTACAATACCTAGTACCGGTATTTTTTCACCAGTTAGTGTACTAAGATTTATATTTGAGGTGCGTATTAATGCCTTTGATAGGCCTAGCCTATTAAACAAATCAATTGGGATGATATTTGTCTGAGCACCTGTATCTATTTTAAAAGATATTGTGTGTTCCCTAATGTTCAAATTCTCTAGCCATTCATTAGCCCTGGATTTACACATGTAATTTTTAGGAACAGAATCATTAACTGAACATATATTACTGAATAAAAAGTTTTTGTCAATCACGTAATTAGATATAGATTCAGACGTGAGCGATACCGTATCAATTGAAAAATATTCTTGTGCACAAGTACTTTTAGAAGAACTGTCTTGCCTACCTTGCCTTATAGCTACATCTCTCGAATTAGAATCTAAACTTAGGCCTACTTCACAAACCTTTTTGGCTGATTTGCATACACTGGCAAAGTGGTTGTTTTTACCGCACTTATAGCACACTAAGCCATACGCAGAGCACTTGTTAATACCGTGATTTTTCCCACAATTACGGCAGTTTGAAATAAACTTCTTAGCACTTGTACTTTTGATAGGCCTACCTGTCCCAGTTGATTTCTGCTGTGACGGTGGATGAAATTTGTTCCGTTGGTCCTGATGAACCTGTTTCTGTCTGAACGTTTGTGGTTGTTGGTAACCCCTCTCTCGTTGCTTATGGACGTTTACTGTATGGACATTATGTTCTGCTTCAAGTTCTCTGATGTGTTGTTTAGACAGTTCAGCAGCTTTACAGATTGCTAAAGTCTTCTCCAAGTTAATCTCCGGCTCTCTCAATAATCGTTCCCTGACATTCTGGTTTTGAGAGTTAAGCCCTGATATTAAGACATCGCAAACAAGACTTTCGCGGACAGAGTCAAATTCACAAGCGAGGCTCAAGTTAACTAAGTCTGTATAGAAACTATCGATGGATTCAGATGGCAGCTGTTTCCTATTTAGAAATTTATGTCTCAGAACCGTGAGGTTTTTCTTAGGCGAGAAATGGTTTTCAAACTTACTTACCACCACGTCGTACTTTTTTGCATCTTCGGATGAGAGGTTGAACGAATTGAAAATGTCTATGCATTTGTCACCCAAATTATGTAGTAGTAGAGCAACCTTCCTAGGTCATTTTCAGAATTTAGGTTAGAAGCCAAGAGATAAATCTCAAATTTCTGATACCAGTGCTTCCAATTTTCGGCTAAATTGCCCTCGAAATTAAAATTCTGAAGATTGCATGGAACCATTGTGAAATTTTCAGTTTTTCTAGACACAGTCCTTTGTTCAGTTTGTTGAAGCACGTTTTCATCTTCAGACTCACTCATTGTTATAACACATTTTTATGTTAATTTATTACTCACGCACTTGAATTTATTTGTATCCCACTTATAAGACACCATGTTTCATGTTTTAAATAAAAACACAATTGAAGTTTCAATACTATTTATTATAAATTGTATTTAACATCGACAGAATTACATTTAGGCTGCAGTTAATGAGCCGACATCTTTTATTCTGAATCGGAAATCAAATACACTTAAAAGAGAATACATATATCAACAGTTCCATCTAGCACATAAAATTGCGCTGTTTACCTCTTCAGATAGTGGGAAAACTAAGTTGTTAGTGTACAGTACTTTAAATTCACTTTTAAGAAATAAAAGCAACACAACAACAGAAAGGATAGTATCTTTGTGGGCAATGGAATATGAGGATTAATCAATGATTGTTTCATAGATGCGGCATGCCACGGCCACCTTTAACTAAAGGCCGCGGCCAGGAAGAATTGGCAACGTTGCAAGTAGGGTTGTTTAGTGGCGGACGTCCCATAAGATAACATGGCAGACAGGTGACATCAGCTCATTAATTTGCACTTCATTGATTTAAATTTAAATTTATGAACATAAATATTTATAAAAATATTGAAAATAAAACATACAGAATTGAAAACCAAAACAATATGAATTGAAAATTTAAATCTGTACCTTTAAAGCGGAGTCAATATTTTCATAGTCCAGTAACCAAGCATTCGTAAATACACGACGTTGCCACTTTGAAGGCCGCGCCGTGGCCTGTAGTTAAAGCATTAAAGGCAGCTGTGGGCATGTTCCATGGTCCACCATGGGCATGTTCTCATCATGTGTCGGCCATTAATCAGTCGTACTTACCCATTCATTGCATTTTAAAATGATTGTATCTATTAAATATTAAAAGCTATTTTGCCACAGTCATAAACTATTTTTTATAATTTGTATGTTAGCATCCCCATACATATAATTTGACTGTTGAGAAAATTTATCCAATGAAGCCCACGGGGAAATAAGTTTTTTGCACGCAGTCATGTGGTAGACCTGATTGTCAATTGCAAAGCAAACCAGTCGGAGTCGGCTGTCGCTGTCGGTCCCTTTCTCACTTTCTTCGGAAGTCCTTTCTGCTTGTGCTTGTGAGGCGAAGTTACCTGGACATTTTAGGTGTCGTTTGTTGATCTTGTTAGTGGTAAGTGAGGTGTCTAGTGTTAGTTAAATTGTGAATGAAGTTTTAGTGTGAATTTATCGGTTTTGTTATGTAAAAACTAACAGCAAACCTATCCTACATCTTACCAGCTAGATGCTCTTATTATTGTTTTGATGTAAGTATTAGGATAAAATGTTTACTTTAGGCTATAAGAGGTTTACGAATTGGCCTATAGGTACCCTATTCTTCCTCCTTTTTGGATCTTACATAGGCTACTAGTTTGTCATTGCAAAAAATTTGCAATTTAAGTGCAAAAGGAATTTTAACTTCTAGATAAGGTTTTTGATACAATTACTTAGGCCCAAGTTTAAATTGTAGGCTAGCCTACTGACCCTTACAATTTAATGAACAAGAGTAGCCTATAGGTTAGTTTAAGAAGGTTATGGCAAATACATTTTTATCTCACAGAACATAGCCTATAGGGATTTAAACATCGAAATAGAGATTTATAAGTAGAATTCATTTTTAAGTGTTTAAACATTTTTGTCACACAATCTTACATAGTCTACCTAGAGTACAGGTAGATAGGGTCTTCCTCCAACTGTTGTTCTCTGACTTAAAATCATGCACAGCACAATTAAGGTAATCTTTCATAATGCGGTAGTTGATTATATTGATGCAAAACTTTATTTTGCGAGAATATGATTCTTTTCATAACCGTTCAAGCTTCAAAGTCCATCATGGGTTGAATAAAACAAGATTTTCACTTAGGCTACCATACAACAGTAGGTAGTTGATAATCATCTGACCTGACACGCAAGTTATTGTAATTTGGGAGATAACTAAACTAGGCTAGTTCATAGTTAGGTCTGGTAAATGATTGAGTGATACAATGTGTCGCCAGGAGACCAGTGTTGTAGATACAGGGTTGAAAATTCCATTTCGGGTAGGTTTGGTACAAGGCTACTGGAAAAGCGCTATGATAGAGTGCTGATGCACTATGATGAGTACGGTGTTTTTAAGCGGCTGCAGCTCGTGAGGATTTGGCTTTGTCTGTAGCAAAGCTGGGTGGAAAATTCTTTTGTCATTTTTTTTATTTTTTTTTCTAGATTTGCAGCCCCTTTTAACTTTGTATATGCGCTTGTCACCTTGGACCTCGTGGCCTCTACGCGGAAAATATCAAGCAAAGATATGCGTGAGTTGATACAGTACAAGAACGGATTAGGTTAAGTTATGACAAAAAATAGGTATTAGTGCTGGCGCCAGGACACGAAACTACGACATTGCTGCCATAGATTCTTATTCCGTCATGATACCAACTGTGCCACCAACTCGCCTAATTGTATTGGTAGTTCACCTAAATGGTACTCTACATCAATTTTAAAGTGAGTCAATAGACTTACCTAATAAGTTTAAGACGTTTTTGTACCTAACATCAAAAATCCTAGAGGTACAGTAAGTTCCATCAACTTTTGATGGTAAAGCATGGTTTTAACACTGTAATGTAGTGGTAAAACTATACTCCCTTATCAGTCCAATGGACGTAATATCATAACTTCTTATTGTAGCATTATGATTTGGCAATGCCCATTGAAGATTTATAGTGACTTAGATACAACTTGCAGAGTAGGCCTACCCGTCCTTCGTACGGGGTTGGAATATAAGTATAAAATGCTTATTGCAGTTATACTCAAGATTTGCGTTTGCAATAAGGGAGGAAACAGTTTGATAAAATTTGCTTTTTTAAATTTACAGTATTCTATAGTTTTACACATCTACCATAGCCATAATGTTCTACCACTTCACCTAAACAATAGAGAAAAATAAATTATCAACAATTCGCAAAATATCACAAATTATTCATGAAATGAAAAACATAAACATAACTGTAAACAATCCTACTTGACAGTTCTCATTGCGAATCACAGTTTTTTTTGCTGCTTAGTTCAAATTAGCTAACACAGCACACGGTCCTATATTTTTTCTCAAATAGGGAATGAAAAATAATGATAAATGATGAGATGAAAGTTAAATTAAATTACAAAACTATGAGTTTTATCTAGACTCAGATGTCTTTGGCTGATATTTCAATAGTTGGTATTTTTTGTTTAACTAGCCTTAAATTGTTGGGTAGTAACCAACAACTTGGTTCATGTTTAACATTTTCCTGTTAGTGTCTGCAAGGGAGAGCAGTCAAAATTTCAAAGCCCCCACAATATTTTGCATGTACCGGGAATTGAAACCATCAATCTCGAACTTCCAGAGGTGTTAACCTCTAGGTTAGTAAAAAAATTCTCATTCTGTTAAGTATTTGACATTTATTTTATAGGTCTATGTGTACATTTACGCTTTGAAGATCAAAGTACTGGTACCAGTAGGTAGCCTACTGTAACTTAGTTAATGAAAATGTACAATTTTAAATTAGGCTAATTAAATTTTGTAGATAAACTTACCATTTGTAGTATGTAAATTTTAATTTAAAAAAATGCTTTTTAGTAGGATTTAGTAGCCCAAGTTTACAAGAGAAAATCGCAAGTAAGGAGCAGATTATGGTCATTACACAGTTTGTGCAATCTCATTTGTGGGTGTCTGGGCTTATTATTTATTAGGTAATTACACGTAACGTGCGGCCGAGCTCTTTGCCAAGTATCCTTGTAATGCCTCGTCGGAGCTTTAGTCTAATGTATGTCATATGCAAACTATATATGTCATATGTCATATGTCAAAGCTGTTGTTAAAAGAGTCTTTCTGGTCTTCTCTTTGCTATGTTTTGGGACGATTAATGGTTAAATAAATCAGGAAATATTTATTAAATTGCAATATATTTGGTTTGAAGCTACAAATAAATTTAGGCCTATAGTTTTTAAATCCCTTTTATGGTTAGTATCAGAATCTGTGGAATTTTTAAAGGAGTCATAAATTGTTAGAGAAAGTGTTTCAAATCACTTCGTTGTGAATTTGCTGGGAATCGAAACTGCCATTACGCACTACGGTAAGATCCAAGAGGCTAACCGCTAAGCTAGCAACTCTATGCATCACCTTTTTTCATCAGAAAATTGTATTTATTATATTGTATCAAAATATTAATATAGTAAAGCCTAGTGAGACCATTTATTGGCCTGAAACGTTCCGTTGCTCATTCGAAAAAATAATAAATGAGCACTTAAGCCTGCTGTCAATTTATTAATATGCTTAATACAATATGGGTTTTGCCTGTTACATTCCTTTTCCGTCCTCTTTTCTGAACTGACTTTCACGATTGAAGTGTGATTTTTAAGCTTATGATTCAGGGCACCTGCGAATGGTACCTAAAAAGGTGACTTCCTTTGGGGCTTTGCCCCCATGTAAAATTTAGAGTCCACTTACAAAGAGTAAATGCTTACCAGCAACTTTCTTTATACAGTTTTAGTATAAATTATAATTTTATGGATGTTACTTCAGTTAAATGTTAAATCACATTCAGTTTATGAAAATAGATTTTAAATAAGCTACGATGGTAAATGATGGTAAATGGCATTTTATATAATGTTAACCTGATTAGATTGAAATAGGTAAATCACTCTTAATGGTGTAGATCTATATGCCTCATACAATTAAGGTTTTTTTTTTCATATGTGCATTCAAACACTAATGTTTCAGAATTAAGGAAAGGTAACAACCAGGAATGGTGTTGTCTAAAGCCAAAAGTTGTAAAAAATGATGACTAAAAAAACATGAAATTTAGTTTACAATTTGATAAAGGCATACAATTAAAAGCCTTAGAAGACCTGTGGCATTTTAAAAATTTATGACAGGTTTTTATGCAACCAGAGTCCAATTGGATTTAATCTGCCTAATTTAACTGCCACATAAATAGCCAAGAATTATTGTAGGCCTGTATTTTTCACACAATTTTCTCAGCCTTTATTGTAACTTGCCTAAAATAATTTTGTTCACAACTTTTGTCTAGCTTTGTGTTGCCTTAACTCAAAAAATATATTTTTGACATTATGTATAAAAAAATCTACTTAATTTATTTTCCATAATGGTACCTATTATAGTTTCCGGATTACTAATAAACAAATGTTAAATGGCGTAGGCCTAAATACTACAGTACGTTGCTAATAAATGCAATCCTAAGGATTGCCACAATCATGTATTTGCACATCACACCACTTTAAAATCTTCCAAGCCTGTGTAATTCCTAAAGTACCTATTATGTTGAGTATTTGGTAAAAGTTTGTTATAGTGAGGTGTCAATATGTGCCAAAGTTCCTGGTATTGTTAAACACTGTAGATACCATAATCATGGTGGCCTTTAAATTGTTATTTTTGGCACTTATGATAAGAACTTACCATTACTGATAGTGATTTTAAGCCCCTGTTTATTTTATACACTGTTGGCATCGTAAACGTAATAATTTTCTCACAAATAAAAATACCCCCGCCGCAGCAAACCTGCAGACTAAGCGAATTTCCATTTCCCTGAATGGATTTACACTAAAATGTCTCCTTAAAATTATCACATTTATTCCCTATTTAAATAGAATCAGTTTAAAACATACTTAGGTTTGCTGCAACAGGGAGGGTAAAAGTGTTTTTTATGTAAAATGTTAATAGTTAGTAAGAAATAAAAACATTTTCCAAATTTGGGCAAAATATGTTTATAAACAAGCAAACTACAACAGTTTACTTATTCTCCATAAGAATAACATGGGAATTTTAAATTTACAATTTTTTGGAATTTTCTCCGTAACCATTAGGCGCATTATAACGCTTCAATATACTAAATTATTTGTTTTTTTAAGCTCTACAAAATAGTTTCGAAAGAAATTGCAAAATTTTATGTTTTTTGGGTCAAAAATGGGAAAAACCCATTTTTACCCCATAACAGCCCCCATAAACCCCCGTTCCCATGGTCCGATCATGCTGGTTCGCGAACTCGTTCGAATAAACGTAGGTTTACACGTTTGTACCAAATTTCATCAAAATCGGATCATTTTTGCTCGAGTTATCGCGCTAACGGACACATATATATATATATATATATAAATATATATATATATATGAATTTGAACGGATGGTGTTTTTGACCTCTAGGGACCTCAAAACGAAAAAAAAAATCGGTCCCGGGTCCAGGTCTTACCGTGAGTACTACGGTAATAGCTTATTCCCTATATGGGAAATTCGCTAAAA